TCATGATTTTTTAAAAAGTTACAGCAAACTAGAAACAAAAGGCAGTATCTTTATAGAATAGCTTTTCTAAAAACCTTCAATTATCTTAATGATTAAATTTTGTAAGTGTTCTTATGATTGAATAAGAGACAAGAATACTTTTTATGGCTATATCTATTCAAAATTATATTAAGGCTATTGAAAACCAGATTGATATTCAATAATTAACTATACATTGATTTGCCAGCAACAAATTAATTGAAATTAAAAAAAATAATAGCAGTAAAGAACATCAAATAAAATGTAAAACTCTTCCAATAAAATCTCCCTATATCATGAGGAGATAGTTAAGATACAAAAACAAGGGAGGGGAAAAGATGGTGGAGGAGTAGGGGACCCTAATCCAACCAGTCCCCGGAATTGAGCTGGATATCTACAAGACCACTCTGAACACCCACAAAATCGGCCTGAGATGTAAGAAGATAGATCTGGAACTCTACAAACAGAATACCGCAGGCAGTTGGTTTTGAGGTATGAAGCAGGGAGCCATGATTCCATGGGCAGATATCAGAAGATAAATGGGAGAGGGAGGGAGCCTTTGGGATCCTACACCCCTGGTGAGTGATAGCTTCCCACGCTGGGGACCGGGCATAGACTTGCAGACTGGTAGCAATGGGGAAACGACTTAAGGGCAGCCCCCTGGACTGAAACCCTGAGCGGTGGGGCTGCACCTGCTAACTGGGGGTGGCTGGCGGTTGTAGAAGCACAACGGGCACAGATGTGCCCCGACCTGGAGGCGAGGACTGGGAGCACTGCTGAGGGGTGCACAACCCAGAACGCTGCAGTTTATAGCAGCACAGACAGAAACAGAGACAGTGTGGCCTGGAGAATTCACTGAAGAACAGACTGTGATCTCCCTGTTCTGAGGCAGAGGTTTGGAAATGGTCACTTCTGCTCTGACTCTCGGAAGAGATGCAGAAAGCTGCCAGGGAAAGCCACCAGAGAACAAAAGCCCCCAAAAACTGGTTTTCACTGAGCCTATCCCCTGCCACAGGGGGCAGGGCAACTCTGCCCAAACAGGCTTGCCTGAGTAACAGTGAGGCTGACCCCTCCCCCAGAAGACAGGCTGGGAGAACAAAAGGCCAGCAACCCTAAGGTCCCTAAAAAACAGGTGTATCTTGCTTGGGTTGTGGTCAATAATTTGGATTCTGTACATTTCCTCAACCACCCCTCAACAGAATGACTAGAAGGAGGAACCCCCAAAATAGGAAAGACTCAGAAACTGTGACTACTTCTGCCACAGATTTACAAAAGGATACAGATATAACCAAGATGTCAGAGATGGAATTCAGGGTAGCAATTGGGAAGACAATAGCTATAATGGAGAAATCGATTAATGGCAACATACAGTCTCTAAGGACAGAAATGAAAGCTGAATTGGCAGAACTTAAAAATGCTATCAAAGGGATCCAATCTAATCTAGATAATCTAACAGCGAGGGTAAGCGAGGCAGAAGAATGAATTAGTGATCTAGAAGAGCAATTAATAGACAAGGAAAAAGAGGAGGCCAGGAAAAAACAACTCAAAATCCATGAAAATAGAATCAGAGAAATAAGTGATGCCATGAAATGTCCCAAAGTCAGAATTATTGGGATCCCTGAGGGGGTGGAGAGAGAGAGAGGACTAGAAGATATATTTGAGCAAACCGTAGCTGAGAACTTCCCTAATCTGCAGAATGAAACAAACATTTGTGTCCTAGAGGCAGAGAGGACACCTCCCAAGATCAAGGAAAACAGGCCAACGCCCCGGCATATAATAGTAAAACTCGCAAATCTTAGAACCCAGGAAACCATCTTAAGGGCAGTTAGGGGGAAGAGATTCCTGATGTACAGAAGGAGGAACATCAGAATAATATCAGATCTATCCACAGAGACCTGGCAAGCCAGAAAGGACTGGCAAGATATGTTCAGGGTACTAATGAGAAGAACATGCAGTCAAGAATACTTTATCCAGGAAGGCTCTCATTTAGAATGGATGGAGAGATGCAGAGCTTACAAGACTGGCAGAAACTGAAAGAATATGTGACTACTAAGCCAGCCCTGCAAGAAATATTGTGTGGTGGGGGGTTCTATAAAAGAAGAAAGACCCAAGGGTGATATAGAACAGAAATTTACAGAGACAATCTATAAAAACAAGGTCTTCACAGGGAACATGATGACAATAAAATCGTATCTTTCAATAATCACTCTCAACGTGAACTGAATGCTCCCATAAAATGGCACAGGGTGGCAGACTGGATAAAAAGACAGGATCCATCCATATGCTGTCTACAAGAGACTCATTTTGAACCTAAAGATACATCCAGACTGAAAGTGAAGAGATGGAGATCCATCTTCCATGCCAACAGACCTCAAAAGAAAGCTGGAGTAGCAAATCTCATATCAGATAAATTAGATTTTAAGCTAAAGATTGTAGTTAGAGACACAGAAGGACACTATAGCCTTCTTTTTTTAAAAAAAAGATTTTATTTATTCATTAGAGAGAGAGAGCACATAAGCAGGGGGAGAGGCAGAGGGAGATGGAGAAGCAGACTCCCTGCTGAGCTGGGAGCCCAACGTGGGGCTCGATCCCAGGACCTGGAGATCATGACCTGAGTTGAAGGCAGACGCTTAACCATCTGAGCCACCCAGGTGCCCCAGGACACTATATCATTCTTAAAGGGTCTATCCAACAAGAAGATCTAACAGTTGTAAATATCTATGCCCCCAGCTTGGGAGCAGCCAACTACATAAGCCAACTGTTAACCAAAATAAAGAGTCATTTTGATAATAATACTTAATTGTAGGAGACCTCAATACTCCATTCTCAGCAATAGACAGATCATCTAAGCTGACAATCAACAAAGAAACAAGAGCTTTGAATGACACACTGGACCAGATGGACCTCATAGATATATACAGAACATTCCACCCGAAGACAACAGAATACTCATTCTTCTCGAGCGCACATGGAACTTTCTCCAGAATAGACCACATACTGGGTCACAAATCAGGTCTCAACCGATACCAAAAGACTGAGATTATTCCATGCATATTCTCAGACCATAATGCTTTAAAATTGGAACTCAATTACAAGAAAAAATGTGGAAGAAATTCAAACATTTAGAAGCTAAAGATCACTCTGCTCAGGAATGTTTGGGTCAACAAGGAAATCAAAGAAGAACTTAAACAATTCATGGAAAACAATGAGAACGAAAACACATTGGTCCAAAACCTGTGGGATACTGCAAAGGTGCTCCTAAGGGGGAAATACATAGCCATCCAAGCCTCACTCAAAAAAATAGAAAAATCCTGAATTCACCAACTAACTCTACACCTTAAAGAACTAGAGAAAAAGCAACAAACGATGCCTAAGCCACACATTAGAAGAGAAATAATTAAGATTAGAGCAGAGATCAATGAATTAGAAATCAGAAACACAGTAGATCAGATCAATGAAACTAGAAGCTGGTTCTTTGAAAGAATTAATAAGATTGATAAACCACTGGCCAGACTTACCCAAAAGAAAAGAGAAAGGACCCAAATTAATACAATTATGAATGAAAGGGGAGAGATCACGACTAACACCAAGGAAATAGAAACAATTATTAGAAATTATTATCAACAACCATATGCCAATAAACTGAGCAATCTGGATGAAATGGATGCCTTCGTGGAAACCTATAAACTGCCAAACTGAAACAGGACGAAATTGACAACATGAATAGGCCAATAACCAGTAACGAGATTGAAGCAGTGATCAAAAACCTCCCAGAAAACAAGAGTCCAGGGCCTGATGGATTCCTTGGGGAATTCTACCAAACATTCAGAGAAACAATACCTATCCTCCTGAATCTGTTTAAAAAAATAGAAACAGAAGGAAAGCTTCCAGACTCACTCTATGAGGCCAGCATTACCTTAATTCCCAAACCAGGCAAAGACCCCATCAAAAAGGAGATTTCAGACCGATATCCCTGATGAATATGGATTCCAAAATTCTCAACAAAATCCTAACTAATAGGATCCAACAATACATTAAAAGGATCATCCACCACAACCAAGTGGGATTTATCCCTGGGATGTAAGGGTGGTTCAACATTCACAAATAAATCATGTGATAGAACACATTAATAAGAGGAGAGAGGAGAACTATATGGTCCTCTCAATTGATGCAGAAAAAGCCTTTGACAATATACAGCATCCTTTCCTGATTAAAACTTTTCAGAGTATAAGAATAGAGGGAACACTCCTCAATCTCATAATCCATCTATAAAAAACCCACAGCAAATATCATCCTCAATGGGGAAAAGCTGAGAGCCTTTCCCTTAAGATCAGGAACACTACAAGGATTCCCACTCTCGCCACTATTGTTCAACATAGTACTAGAAGTCCTAGCAACAGCAATCAGACAACAAAAAGAAATAAAAGGTATTCAAATTGGCAAAGAAGAAGTCAAACTCTCTCTTCGCAGATGACTAACTTTAGGTGGAAGATACTTTAGGTGGAAAACCCAAAAGACTCCACCCTCAAATTACTAGAAGTCATACAGCAATTCAGTAATGTGGCAGGATACAAAATCAATGCACAGAAATCAGTTGCTTTCTTATAGACTAATGATGTAACTGTAGAAAGAGAAATTAGAGAATTGATTCCATTTACAATAACACCAAAAACCATAAGATACCTTGGAATAAACCTAACCAAGGAGGTAAAGGATCTATACTCTAGGAACTACAGACCACTCAGGAAAGAAATTGAAGAAGACACAAAGAGATGGAAAAACATTCCATGTTCATGGATCAGAAGAATAAACATTGTTAAAATGTCTATGCTACCCAGAGCAATCTATACCTTCAATGCCATCCCAATCAAAATTCCAATGACATTTTTCAAAGTACTGGAACAAACAATCCTAAAATTTGTATGGAATCAGAGAATACCCTGAATTGCTGACGAAATGTTGAAAAAGAAAAACAGGCACAGCTAGCGGAGCTGCGGTCAGGAGGGCAGTGCGTGCCCCGAGCTCTCCGCCTCCCCCTGCCCGCCAGCCTGAGGCCCCCGAGCCCAGCCCGTGGCTCCAGCAGCAGCGCGGAGAACAGCCCCAGAAGCAACGCCATGGCTGGGTGGAACGCCTACATCAACAACCTCATGGCGGCCGGCACCTGTCAGGACGTGGCCATCGTGGGCTATAAGGACTTGTCCTCCATCTGGGCCGCCGTCCCCGGGAAAACCTTCATCAACATCACGCCAGCTGAGGTTGGTGTCCTGGTTGGCAAAGACCAGTCAAGTTTTTTCGTGAACGGGCTGACCCTTGGGGGCCAGAAATGTTCTGTTATCCGGGACTCACTGCTGCAGGATGGGGAATTTACCATGGATCTTCACACCAAGAGCACTGGGGGAGCCCCCACTTTCAACATCACTGTCACCATGACTGCCAAGATGCTAGTCCTGCTGATGGGCAAAGAAGGTGTCCACGGTGGTATGATCAATAAGAAATGCTATGAAATGGCCTCCCACCTGTGGCGTTCCCAGTACTGACCTCATCTGTCCCTTCCCACCATTCCCCACGGCTTTTGCACCCCTCTCCTTCCCAGACACACACATACACCATTTTTATTTTTTGGGCCATTACCCCACACCCTTTTTTGCTGCCAAAACCACATGGGCTGGGGGCTGGGGCTGGATGGACAGACACCTCCCCCTACCCAAACCCCTCCTGTGTGTAGTTGGAAAACTTTTTTTTTGTTTTTTGTTTTTTTTCCTGGATAAAAAAGATTCTACTAACAAAAAAAAAAAATAAGAAAAGAAAAACAAAGCTGGGGGCATCACGTTGCCTGATTTCAGGCTATATTACAAAGCTGTGATCACCAAGACAGCATGGTACTGGCACAAAAACAGACACATAGACCAATGGAACAGAATAGAGAGCCCAGATATGGACCCTCAACTCTATGGTCAAATAATCTTTGACATAGCAGGAAAAAATATGCAATGGAAAAAGTCTCTTCAATAAATGGTGCTGGGAAAATTGGACACCTATATACAGGAGAATGAAACTTGACCATTCTCTTACACCATACACAAAGATAAACTCAAAATGGATGAAAGTCTTCAATGTGAGACAGGAATCCATCAAAATCCTAGAGGGGAACATAAGCAGTAACCTCTTTGACATCGGCCACAGCAACTTCTTTCAAGATACATCTCCAAAGGCTAGTGAAACAAAAGCAAAAATGAACTTTTGGGACTTCATCAAGATAAAAAACTTCTGCACAGCAAAGGAAACAGTCAACAAAACAAAGAGGCAACCCACGGAATGGGAGAAGATATTTGCAAATGACACTACCTATAAAGGGCTGATATCTAAGATCTATAAAGAACTTCTCAAACTCAACACCCAAAAAACAAATAATCAAGTCAAAAAATGGGCAGAAGACATGAGCAGATACTCCTCCAAAGAAGACATACAAATGGCTAACAGACATGCAAAAAATGTTCATCATCATTAACCATCAGGGAAATTCAAATCAAAACCACATTGAGATACCACCTTACACCAGTTAGAATGGCAAAAATTGACAAGGAAAGAAACAACAAATGTTGGAGAGTTTGTGGAGAAAGGGGAACCCTCTTACACTGTTGGTGGGAATGCAAGTTGGTATAGCTACTTTGGAAAACAGTGTGGAAGTGCCTCAAAAAATTAAAAATAGAGCTACCCTATGACCCAGCAATTACACTACTGGGTATTTACCCCAAAGACACAGATGTAGTGAAAAGAAGAGCCACATGCACCCCAACGTTCATAGCAGCAATGTCCACAATAGCCGAACTGTGGAAAGAGCTGAGATGCCCTACAACAGATGAATGGATAAAGAAGACATGGTCCATATATACAGTGGAATATTAGCCATCAGAAAGCATGAATACCCAACTTTTACATCAACATAGATTGCACTGGAGGAGATTATGCTCAGTGAAATAAATCAAGCAGAGAAAGTCAATTATCATATGGTTTCACTTATTTGTGGAACATAAGGAATAGCATGGAGGACATTTGGAGAAGGAAGGGAAAAATGAAGGGGGGGAAATCGGAGGGACAGATGAACCATAATGGACTATGGACTCTGAGAAACAAACTGAGGGTTTTAGAGGAAGGGGAGTGAGTGGATGGTTTAGCCCAGTGATGGGTATTAAGGAGGGCATGTACTGCATGGAGCACTGGGTGTTAAACGAAAAGAATGAATCGTGGATCACTACATCAAAAACTCATGATGTATTGTATGGTGACTAACATAATAAAATAAAATAAAATTTAAAAAATAAAAAAATAAAAAAACACAGAAGTATTAATAAGTTAACTTTTTGTGATGTTTGTGGAATTCATTAACTTTTTAAAATTTGTAATTTGTTTCCATTTATCTTCTTATTCTAAATAAATATTTACTTTTGTAGCTAAAAAAAAAAAATTAAGATACAAAAACAAAAGGAAAAATCAGGTCCATGGTTGACAAAACAAAATCTAAAGGTTGTGGAGGTGTAACAAACATTTTTTATTCCAACAAAAATTATTGCATGCTTTTTTTTTGTGGAAATTTACAAGTTAGCAAGAAAATTACAGAAATACCTAAGGTAAAAATAGTAATCGCAATCTTGACAAAGGACAACAAAGTTAGAGTACTAGTACTACCAGTTATCATTATATATTATAAAGGTATATTAATTATAAAATGTGATATTGATACACGGACAGACAGATAGATTGGTTAAATAGAAAGTTCAGATGATGCCACTACAATGCCATGAAGAAAGGATTATTTATGGAATCTAGGTGGGTTATATCTATGAAAAAATCAGAACTTGATCTCTATTTCTCACCACACATAAAGATTAGTTCCAAACAGTCTGAGATGTAAATACCCACAGCAAAACAATAAAAATAAACAAAAAGTAAGGCAAAGAAGAATATATTCTCCTTATGAGTGTATGTAAAGATTTCTTAAATTAAAAAAAAAATGCATTAGACATATAGGAAAAATTGAAATTGTATTACATAAACATTAAGAATGTCTTTTCATTAAATAATACCACATTAAGAAAGAAAAATACAAACACAGAGTTGTGCATTAAAATTAAAGGATATCTATACATTTGGAATGATAAAATACTGTCATTGTATAAGTCTATTACTGAGATTCAATTCTCCATATTTTATCTATAGATTTACTGCAATTTCAGTAATAATCACAGTAGGGTTTGGGTTTTATTTTTTTTGGTGTGGTTTTTTTTTTTTGAGGAAACTTATAGGTTTATTTAAAAGGTTAAAGATGGTCTTTAAAAAGGCACAATATGAGACAAATGATGATAAACAAGTAATGGTATCCCATCCCACCAGATATGTTCACTTTTCAGTAATAAGAGAGCATAATATTGGCACAGGAAGACAACAAATAAAATGGAATAGAAACTGGAGGGTAGAAACAGACCCAAGTTGATATACTCAATTTCTGGCACAAAATGGGTGAACATCAATCAATGGTACTTGGACTATAGATTAACCTTATGGAAAAATACTGTTAGGGATATTGGAAAGATTTCTTTTAAAAAACACCAAAAGGTCAAATCCTCAAGGAAAATGTAGCTAAAGCTGGAAATATTATTAATTTCTATGTATCAAATGATACAAGTTAAGGACGAAAAGTAGGTAAAAATAAAAGCAATGATCTGAGATAAGATATTTGCTAATAAAATATTAATGTTCAGAATATACTGAAAATGCTTATATATCAATAAAAATGGGCAAGCAAATATTGTATAGAATATCAGCTTCATGGGGCAGGGATTTTTATCTATATTATCACAATTTTTTTCCCAATTCCTGAAACAGTGTCTTACATAGAATTTGTTCAATAAATATTTTGTTCAACAAAATAATCAATAAATACCAACTAAATATTAATCAGGAAAATCACACTAAAACTAAAATTAAACACTGCTTTTATACAAAGTAGACTACCAATAAATAAAAAATGACTGACAGTAACAAGTATTAGGAAAGTAGGGGAGAAACAGAAATCATATACACAGGTAGGAAAATAAATACATAAATAAATGCATTCCAATGATTTATTATTATTTAGTACATTTGAACATATGCATATCTTAAGGTCTGGAAATTCCAGTTAGAAGTATATATATCCACATAGAGCTATATTTTTTTATTTTAAGATTTTGTTTATTTATTAGAGAGAGAAAGCATGCACAGGAGCAGGGAGGAGCAGAGGGGGAAGGAGAGAGAGAAAGAATATGTAGCAGATTCCATGTTGATTGTAGAGCCTGATGAAGGCCTCGATCCATGAGATCATGACCTTAGCAGAAACCAAAAGCTGGAGGCTTAACTGACTGAGCCACCCAGGTGCCCCTACAGCTATACATTTATAGCTATTATTTAAAATTCTCATTGCTAATATTCTATTGTATGAATATATCTTCAATTAATTTTTCTATGGATATATTGATGGATACTTAGGCTGTTTCTAGTTTTTTTGGTATTACAGAGATTATTTTTGAAAATTAATAATGCCCCTTGCAAACTAAATTTTGGTAAGGATTAAATGAGTTAATACACATATACAGCATGCTGTTACATTCAGTACTTAATTAATGTTATTAAGAATGAATGGTTGCCAACATAATGAACTTCCTAGAACACAAAGAAAAGAATCTCCTTATGTCTTGTCCTGGGTATGGGCGTTGGGAGAGAAATGAAAAACTCAATGATCCCCTTTGCTTGCATGATATAAAGGAACTCCTTAGGATGCTATTATATTACTTTCTTAATACAGTGCCATACTATTTTTTAAATAACATTTCCTACTCTATACCACTCAAAATGTGTAATTTTTGAGCACCATAATACTATTTCCTTTTTCCTAAAGTATGAATTTTCATAATTCTATGTTTGCTGACAGTATTGTCATTTTTCACATATTCTTTCTGAACTTTTGAGATCTAAAAAATCATTTCCCTACAACACTAAGGGCATGATCTATGAAAGAAGGTATTGATAGGCTGAACTTCATTAAAATTAAAAAATTTCTGCTCTGTAAGAGATACTGTCAAGAGAATGAAAATACAAGCCACAGACTGGAAGAAATTATTTGTAATAGACATATCTGATAATGGAGGTCACCCAAAATATACAAAGAACTCAACTTCACAATAAAAAAAAGTAACCTGATTAAGAAATAGGCAATAACTTGAACAGATACTTCATCAAAGAAGTATACACATGGCAAATAAACCTGTGAAAAGATGCTGCATATCATGTCATTAGGGACATTCCCAAACTTTGGAAGCAACTAAGATGCCCTTTAGACAGTGAATGGATAAACTATAGTATATGAGGACAATGGGATATTATTAAGCACCAAGAGAAATGAGCTATCAAATCATTAAAAGACACAGAGAAAACTTAAATGCATATTGCAGAAGCCAATCTGAAAAGAGTACATTTTGTATGATTCCAACCACGTGACATTCTGGAAAAGGCAAAACTATGGAGACCATAAAACATCAGTGGTTGCCAGGGGTTAGAAAGAAGATAGGGATACATTGGTAAAACACAGATTTTTAGGGCAGTGAAAATTATGTTTGGTATTATCACATGAGATACATTCTATTATACATTTGTCAAAAGCCATAGAACATATAATACCAAGACAACCAACCACAAAAGGACTATGAAGAAGGTAGACTGGCTAGGTCCCATAATACTAAAAGAGGGATAG